ATGATCTACAAGCCAGTTCATTTTCCTGTTGTTAGATAACAAACCATGAATCTTGACAAATGAACCCACTTGTTTGACATTATTTGGAAAACTCATAACACGCTTAGTTCTTATGGTCACTTCCCCTTTGAAATTAAATTTTAAGATGAACTTCATTTAAATTCTGATAGAGGGAAAGGGCTTGTTAACTTTCATTTTGACTGCGTGTTGTTTATCATCATCATTCTTTTCTCGCTTATACTTGGATGCACCAGAGCTTCTGCCAGTGTCATCATCAACAGTTCACAAGGAAGCCGTCTGAGTTTACTGGTGCCCATATCATTAAGAGGTGAAGTTCTGTAGTGTTGTGGGGGACCACATGGCTTCCGGAGTCAGACTCCCTGGGTTCATATTGGGGTTCTAGCTGTGTGACCTTGAGATGGTCATTTCCCCTTTCTGTGCCTCAGTTTTCTCCTTTGCAAACACAGAAGAATATTATTTGCCTCGTTGGGCTGTTATGAAGATAACACATTAGATGCTTAGCAAGCACACAACAAATGTTGCCTATAATTATTACAATCATTATTTTAAGAATAACATCTTCCAAAATGGATGCCAAATCATTTTATTTTATTTCCTAAAGAGGACACTGGTACTGATCTGCTGATTTAGCAGCCTCAACATGCGGTTAAGAGGGCTTTAGCCTCCATCCCATAATCCCTAACAGACCCTCCCAGCAATGCCACCATGAATAAACATCTAAGAAAAATCTGCGTACTTGCCAAGCGTATGCAGCTTCTAGAGAAGTCCTCTATCTCCCTCCTTCAATCGGAGTGCCATCTGAAGCCCCTCTTCTGAAAATCTGTCGTTTTCTACTGGTTCTAACCAAGTTGACGCTGCAAATTCATAACACTCCCTTGTCCTGTTACAGCACGGTGTTATAGTGTTAGGTAACCCCAGACCGTAAGTCGTCACCACTCTTAAATAGGATTTACAAAGTGTGGCCTTGAGCAATATAGCAATGTCAACTTTATCTGAAGGAAAATAATTTTTTTCTACTAACGTTTTAATATTTCTTTCTTAGTGCCTGAAATGATTTAAAAGCTAATCAATGATAAAATTCCAAATCCATCTAAAGACAAAGAATTGAGAAAGGAATCAGAACCACTTTTAATCAGGAAAGTGGCTGCTGTGACCCATCAACCCTAAAGATTATTGATGTCCTCCCTCCATTTTTTTTAAGATGCTGTAGTTTGGTCATTTGTCTTTGGCAGACAGAGCATACAAAATCGCTTTTGCTTTTCACAAATTAATTCATTTAAGCCTGTGCGTTTGTCAGACATTCCGGGAACCTTCTGCCAATGTTTTGTTGATTAAAGGGTGTGTATTTTGAAAATGAGTGGAGAGGTAGGAATTTATAGTTCTTAAAACTGAAGAATGATTTACAATGCAGACTGCTACCTGAATCGTTCAGTGTATCATCAACAGATAAATGAAATATTAAGGATTAGCAAGAGTGCCGGCACTGGATTTTAAAATCTGTGGATTTATTGGTTCAATAACACTGAGAAAGTCGACCGCTTTCAGCAAAATTTCTAGAGCTCACAAACAAGAATGTGACATAGAAAACCACCTTTGATTGTGTACTTTTTTCAAAGGGCTTTTGAAATATGTCCTTTCTTCACAAGACTCTGGTGCTTCCACTCCTATTTATAAATTACGTACCTCATCTCCATGCACACAATTTCCCTGTATACATCCCAACTTTGATTTGCTTTTGACTGTTTTGTTTAATTTTTTCCCAGTGAATACCGTGGGCCCTTTGGAGGGCACATTTATTGTTTTAGGCACCACGCAATTTACTAAATGGTGTTCCTGCAGTGGAAATGCTCGCAAAGACCCCTGGGGGGAAAAATTAAGTAAATATATATTGATCATCCTGTAGTTGGTGCTTTCTTATTTTATCAGTCAAGGGCTCAATCTGAACTGGTCCATCTGATTTGTGATACATAAAGCTGGAGACATTTTTCTGGCTCCCTGGTGGTTTTAAAGGCTAGGCAATGGGAAAAACTGCTTTAAACAAAGCCTCATTTTAAAAGAAGCCTGAGTACAGAATGGAATTCAAAGAATTTGGAGAGAGGGGAGGTGAAAGTGGTAACAAACAGCTTTTAAAAAGCCCTGGGAAATTTAAGAGCATAAAGCACATAAGGGAAGTAAAAGATAAATCCCATCTGTGCCATGGTGAGATACAGACACCAGGACGCTACTTCAGCAAAGATGGATGGAACACCTATCAAGTGCAGGGCTTGTAAAGAGGGAGAACTTAAGTGTTATGGGGTGTCTGAGGAGAGAAACAGAATTCTTAGGTCAAGAAGGAGTAGTTTTCCATGCCAGCCAAGAAACTTTATGCAGATATTAAATTCCAAAAGACAATGAATATATGTCATGTTATCCAAATATTGGGGACAGAAAGTGTTCTCCTGTGTAATTCATTTAAAAATTCTGTATTAAAATTGTTGGTAAGAAATTCAGTAATACTAAAGAAATGGTTGGGGAAAATGTTTATTTCAAAGAAGGGAGTTGGAGGCTCTGGATTTTTCTGCCATCATATCTGCTCTCTCACCTCCCCATTCCTCAAGCAAACTACCCAATACACTCTGGACCAGTTTGTGCTTGCATTTGACTATTTGGCTTCTTGTTTCCTCCCCGCACCTCCTCCAGTTAATAAGAGGACAGCATGAGGGAAGGGAGTCCAAATAGAAAGCTTGAAGCCCTTCACATAAGAGGTGGTTCAGACCCTGGCCTAGGGAAACTGGGAATTTAGAGGAAAGGATGATTCTAGAAACCTCTCAGAGATTTTGGTGGCTGATTGTATTTTGAGATTTAGGATTAGGGAATAGGGGAAGCTAACACCAAGATTTCTAGCTTGGAGGCTGGAAGAATGACAGCAACACCAAAAAGATGTGGGGTCATTGTAATGGGTGGCTGGTGAGGGGAATTGGGAGATGAAGGTGCAGATCTAATGAGTTGTATCTTGACTTGTTACATCTAAGAGGCAATGTGTTATAGCCAGTTCAAAATATGGACGGGGGCAAATCTGAAATTCTGCAAGGTAAACAGACTATTAGAGCAAGAAGCAAGGCTGGATACTGCTGAAAATTGGCCTCTTGTCTCTATGAGCTAAGTGCTATGTTCATTCAATTTTTATTGTACATGATGTAGCCTAAGTATTTATTAAGGACTTGCTAGCTGTTTGATAAGTATACACCTCTCACCCCTGATAAAACAGCTAATGAGTCTTCAAGTTAAATCTCAGCCAAAAATTTCTCCACTGGAATCTTGATGAACGTGCTCCTTGCGCCTTTAGGTAACATTCTGGGTTATGGTTGAGAATATCTAGGATAGTTATATAGACTAATATCACTGACAAGACAGACATGAACCACAAATATTATCATTATTATTATTCTTGCATTTTTGTTGTTGCTAACATTTATTGCACACTTACTAATTTCCAGGAACCATTTTGTTTGCATTAGCTCATTGAGTTTTTGTGAAGACCCTATGACATAGAAGAGTACTATTTTTGTCCTCCTCATATTAATGAGAATATTGAGTCTCAGAAATGCTAAGGTACCATCCAAAGGTCACACAGCCAATAAGAAACACAGCAGGGACTCAAACCCAAACAGCCAGTATAATTTTAGAACTTTTGAAGATACACCTGTATGAAAAAGATATGAAGTATAATGAGTAATGTATCTACTAAATCTGGCATGTATAATTATAAAGACCCTCATCATTGTATATTCCAAGTTACTGGCGATCATTTTATCATTTCCATTTTATCATAAAATAGTGTGACAGGTTAGAGGAGTGGTTCTCTCCTGGGGGAGATTTTCTCCCCAGAGGACACTGGGCAGTGGGTGGAGACATTTTTGGTTGTCACATCTGGGGGATGGGTGCTACTAGAATCTGGTGGGTAAAGGCCAAGGATGTTGCTCCTATCCTATAACGAACAGGACACACCCCCACAACAAAGTATTATCTCGTCCAAGTTGTCAATAGTGCCTAGAATAGAATATTTTTTTTCTTATTTAGAAATTTTTTTTTCTTTTTTGGGGAAGACTGGCCGTGAGCTAACATATGTTACCAATCATCCTCCTTTTTTCCATTTTTCTCCCCAAAGCCCCAGTAGATAGTTGTATGTCATAGTTGTAGATCCTTCTAGTTGCTCTATGTGGGATGCCACCTCAGCATGGCTTGATGAGCAGTGCATAGGTCCACGCCCAGGATCCAAACCAGAGAACCCCAGGCTCCTGAAGCAGAGTGCACAAACGTAACCACTACGCCGCCAGGCTGGCCCCCCTGGATTAGAGTATTTTTAAAGGGGATCTTGAGTATGGAGAGAACGGCGGCTCAGTCCCGCGAACAAAGGACATTCACCATGAGATGCAGATTTGGGAATGGGGGAAAGAGATAAGATAGGTTCATTCATTCCTTCATTCGTTCATAGAATCACTGTTTATAGAGTGATTTCTGTGTATCAGGAAGTGTGCTGGAGAGTAATAGTGAGGACAACAATATGAAGTTTCTTTAGAGAAAAGGAAGACACAAGGAGTAGAGGCAGACTAAAGATGTTTGGCTGCTAAATGTGAGCGAGAGGCAGAGCTTTGGTGCCAGGAGGGAACTGTGTTCTTTATCGGTGAGGGAGATAACATGCTACTTTACAAGTCTAAAGAAAAGCACAGTAGACAAACTCAGAAGCCATATGCTAGTGTCAGGAGTACCTGAGAACTTCTTTCTGACCCATTTACAGCTAACTTACGCTGATCCAAATGCAGAGCCAGAGCGGGGAAAGCAAGTGATGTTCTCGGAAGTACACAGAGTAGTGATATAAATATGTGTGTGCATGTGTGCGTTGGAGAGGCCGAGAAGCTTGCATTGCTTTCAAGTTGCTCTGCTGGCCTGTGAATAGGTGCTGGCTTTGTTTTTCAAGTAACAGCCTTTTCTGTTTCCAGCAGTCCTATGCACCAGCTCCCCACCCCATGGCTCCTCCCAGCCCCAGCACAAACAGCAGCAGCAACAACAGCAGCAACAACAGCAGCGGGGAACAGTTGAGTAAAACGAACCTGTACATTCGAGGCCTCCCACCAGGCACCACTGACCAGGACCTAATCAAGCTGTGCCAACCGTAAGTGCCCTTCTGCTCTCTGCACTGTTTCTAACCCATATACTCGCCCATGTGGGCTCAGTCCACACAGGACTTGATTTTGCACCCAATCTACCCATGCATTGGTGTCTCAGTGAGGAAGACTCTGCTGTACAAACAGGACTTAAATTTGAGATCTGAGTTCAGCTTATTTTCAGGAATGGAATTCGTTTATTTTTTGCTGTGGGAGTGGAGGTTCTTGAGTAGATATATGGGGGAGTGCTGACTGATATGCATGTATTGACCAGAAAGATGATGAGCAAGCATTGAGATGGATTCTCAAACTTAGTGGCTGGTAGAATCAATGGGGAATCTCATGAAGGAATCTGCTTTTTTGAGAAGTATTAGTGAGGGGAATCTCAAAAACTCAGAAGCAGTGGATTTCAGGGTGGTTACCTCCTGTGTGGCAAAGCTTTCTGACCAGTTCTTGGTAAGTGTAAATTCAGCTGGGATCAGGTAATTGGGGGATTATAAGGCTAATCCTCTAGCTTCCTTGAAAATACCAACTCCTAAGTCCAGGGAAGCTATTTCCCACCAACGCCGAGAACTGCACTCATCAAGTAGTTGTATATTTGTGAGGAAATGTGGTAGTGATTAAATGCCCTTCCAAAATGTCTTCATTAATCTATTATCTACCAACACTTATGTTATGAACTTTCTTATTTCTGTGCAAATAAATAGGCATATTTAAGTTTACCCTCCAAAGTTAATAATGGATAATGAATTAAAAATCATAGACCTGTATTTTTAGATTGCTGTCTGATTATTTTCAAAGCACTATCAGTACAGCTATTTGTCATTTGATTGTGCCTTAGCTGGGTATTCTTAAATTTGGGGAAACTATTACTCAATTTTTCTCTCTTTTGCAATGCTTTTACAAGAAGGTTGAGAGGATATTTATTTTGTAAATTTTCCAACCTCTAAAATACTGGAAGAGGAAAACAAAGCAGACGGTATTTATTTGCTTTTGTTCTGGTTTTTAAGATTGGGAACAAATATCAAAACAACAGGAAATGGCCAATAAACCAAAACACAAATACATAACTATATAATCAGTTAACAAGGCAGTATGTGGATTACGGTGGGGGCGCCCTGTTACTATTGACTGTCTTGATTTGTGAAGGAGGTAAGGCAGAACATTGAAAAATAAATATTTATTTAAAAGCACTTTAAAAAAAGAAAGAAAAGTGCCAGGGCTAAGATATACAAATCTATGTTAGGTTTTGGTCTATAAAATGTTGAGGTTGAGAATTGGAAGGTCAATAACTCAAATTTTTCTTGTTGCTGTTAGAAAAATCTAAACTGTTAGAAAAGTAAGGCCTTTGAACATGTGAAAGATTGCGGACTTTACATTGGAAGCTTCAGATGAAGTTCTCCTGTAAAGGATGCTGATGTGAAAAAGAAAGATGACTATTACCTTTGATTTGCATATGAATCTCATTCATAAAAAAAATATTGGTGTGTATTAAGGAAAGAGTCTTTCCCATTGCTCTGTACTACTCAGAGAGGTTATTGAAACACAGATTTTTAGGCCCAAGAGACTATGATCACTAGGTCTGGGGTGGAGCCCAAGAATATGCATTTCTAACAAGCTTCCTGGCATTGTAAGCACTGTGGGTTTTTCGAGAAGCACTTCTCTCTACAATAATATAAAGAAATAAGATGTATTTCAAATGCATAAAGTTTCACTTAACATATGAGAATAGTTGAGCTGAAATCTTGTGTATTAAAACCTGCTCAGCCACTGTGTGATCTTAAGGAAGATCATTTACTCTCTTTGAGCCTCAGTTTCCTCTTGTAAAAGAGTGCGTTGAGTTTGATTATTTCTAGGTTTTCCTGTAGTATCACTGGTGTGCTGGAGCTGCCTCTGACTACTGCACTAGAGCCAATTCTTAAATATTCAGGAATTCTGTGAGTGATTTGTTACAGACTCAGTGTCTTGAAATCAGCCGTGGTGGGAGTATTTATATCACAGGAACCAGGAAGCCCTACAAATCGGGGCTTTTTAAACTTTTTTTGGAGAGCTGGTTTATGAACATACCACTGAGGTAGCATTATACCATGAATTTCTGTGTCAGTGTCCATTTCTGCAAAGAATGTTGCCAGAAATTTATAAATGGAAAATGTTACCTAAAAACCTGTACTGGCATTTTTAACTCAGGAAAGAGATGTGGTGACACAGAAACTTTGTTATTGAAAAAAGAGGTTTTGTTAATGTTTCTTTTGTGCATTTGAGAAATTTAAAGAATGCTTAGTGAACAGACGGTGATGGTAATTTGTTCATATTAATTTTTGCGTGGTAATTAGATCTGGCCCATGTTATTATTATTGTAAAAATATTTTTGTCTTCCGGCTACGGAAGGGGTCTGGACCTGGGGTTTATTGCTTAGACTCATTTTCCTAGAGAATTTTAGAGAACTGGTATGATCGAGCAGCACAATGTAGTGGAAATAGCTGTGCACTAAGGGATTTGGGTTTCAGTCCTGGCTGTGCCATCAACTGGGTATGTAGCCTTAGACAAATGACTTGTCCCCTCTTAACTTTGCTTTCTTTCGTGTATAAATAATGTGTCTGGTAGTTTTTTAAACTTCTTTCACTCTAAAATTCTGATATTTCATCGAGGACCTCATTTTTTAGCAGTAAAATCTGGGTCACCTTTTATATCTTTTACCAATCCATTTTTGCAGTGTTGGCAGGGCCACAACCGGGACTGATTCAGTGGCACAAGTATGACCTGATGGCTGGAGATGCGTTTGGTAAGAGACCAATGTAGGTCACTAGTAAAATCCTGTTTCCTCTCTTATAGTGTTGGTCTCTTACATTGCTCATGACTATTTCACATTAGCAGTCTTCCAGAGATTCAAATCATTTTGCATTCCCTTTACTACTCCACCAATTTAAAATAATTTCACCTATAAAACAGATAATATTTGTAGGTTTAAATGAACTTGCCATCAAGATATGTTTCCGTGTTTATTCCTATGAAATTATAGGTACTTTAGAGTTAATATTTCCTTACATTATGGGAAATGCAATATTTGCTAATATCCATAGTAATAAAATAAGAGAAAACAGAGATATACAAAAAAGGCATAGACTTATCAAATTATCTGGTATTAGAATACAATATCCATATTAATACTAATGAACAGCAAGAAAATGATATTAAAGAAAAGAAATTACATTATTTCTCAATGTATAATCTGAGAGGAAATTCTTATTAAGGGATTCCATTCACATTCATCATCAAAGCTCCTATGTTTGGATTCAAAGTAAAATCAAAGAAAAGAATACAAGACTGAAGAATAATAGACATTAAGAATGACTTTACTCTGTGGAAAATCTCTCTAGTTATGCCTACATTTTGGATAAATACATTGCATTGTGTGTCTTTTAGGAAATACAGACCTGGTAATGTCTTTATCCTGAGAAATCTCAAGGAACTTTATTGTATTCTCAATCAAGAAATATTTACAGAGTACTTGTGTGGCATGCCAGATACTATGCTGAGATTAAGTGGTGAGTGAATTTATACAAAGGCCTTGCTTTAGCAGAGCTTATATTCTACTAGGGAAAATAGACATCAATTAAATGATCATATGATTTGATATCAAATTGCAACTATAAATGCAAGAAAAGAAAGGAGTATGGAACTAGGAGTGTTTGTAACATGGGATTAGACCTGGTTAGGGCAATGAGGAAAGGAATCTCTGAGGAAGTGGCAGTTGAGGTAAGATCAGAAGGAGGAATAGGTTTAACTATTTAATTTTTTTAAATTAAATGAAGTTTAAATGAAGAAAGAAGGGAAGAGCTTTTCAGGCAGAGGGAACTTCATGTGTACAGAACTAATGGCTGAAGAGAGCATGGCAAGGATGAGGGGCTGAACAAAGGGCGGCGTGGTTATAGCAGAGACAGGGAGGTGGAGTATAGGGCGAAATGAGCTGGAAACATGGAGAGGGATAAGGTGATCCCTTTGAAGATCATGTTAGGAGCTTTGCTTTATCCTAAGAGCAATGGAGGAAACCATTGATTTGTCATAAACAGTAAGGTGACATAGTCAGATTTTTGTTTCAAAAAAGATAACTCCAACTGCAGAGTGGCAAGAAGGGACCCCGTGAGATCAAGGGACAATCAGAGTAGGAACAGTTGAAAAGAAAGCTGGAAAAAGAATAATTTATGGTCATAGAAGAGGACATGAGAATTAGTAATTGTGGTAGTGGAACAATTATGGGTAGTGAAAGATGTCTTTTTTCATATGCATTTGTATTTCCATTAAAGAACAAGGGCTTGAAAGACAATCATTCAAATGAACTCCAAAGAAACAGTGAAGTAGGACAGAGTAGGACCCAAATCAATTGATTTTTTGTTTATCTCTTTTTCTTACCTTGTCATGAATGGGTCATCAATATACTATTAAACAGTTAGTGGCTGCACTATTAAAAGCACTAAAGGCAGAAATAATGAAAACTAAAACTCCAACTGATTATACAATTATATTCATGGAGTGGCTTATCAGTTGGAGACCATGGGTGGAATTCTTGGATTATATACCCTTTCTGCTTATCTCGAGAGGTGACATAAGTGGGGGAAGATAGATTTGGCTTAATAAAGAGAGAGAGCACTGTAAATTTTTTGGACCAAATAAAATTTTGGTGGTGTAATGATTTTCACCTATTAAGCTATATTTCCACCCTCAAAGAAATTGATAACTTGTATTATATGATTGTAAATATGCCCTGGAAACACACTGAGATTGTTCTTAAAAAAATAAAACCATATATTTAACATAATGGACAGAATTTAAAATGGAAAAAAATTATTAGTGTGTTTATATTTTCCACATCTGCAATACCTTTCATCTAACCATCTTCAAGACTTATAAATTTTAATTAATACAATGCTCTCAGAAAGCCTCAGCTGGACATTGCCCCCACTTCCCTGTGATTAGCTAACTGGAGGTAATGACAACATTGTAGGTTCAG